GTGGGTCAAGTTGTGTAGTTTGTGTTATACTAATTCTCTGATATTTTTAAAGACATTTTATGGCCTAGTTTTTGTCATTGTTTTATAAATGTTTCGTATTTGCTTGATAAGAATGTATATCCATTAACTCATATCCTCAATATATCCATTTACTCATGCTTACTAAATCTGTTGCTCATGTCTCCTATGTTTGAGAGAGGAATGGTGAAATCTCTTTATTATGTTGAACATGTCAGTTTCTCCTTATAGTTATACCTATGTTTGCTTTATACATTCTGAGGATATTTTTTGAAGTACATACAAGCTTAAGATTTTTAGGTTACTCTAATTAATTGAACCTTTTAAGCTTTTCCAGTGATTTTCTTTTGCCTTTAATAGTAAGTTTTGTTGTAAAGTCTGATTTGTCTAATATTAATAGAATTGTATTGGTTTCCTTTTAGTTAGTACTTGAATGTTATTTCTTTTTTCATACTTTTACTTTCAATATTCTTATGTTTAGGTGTATCTCTTATAACCACTATGGCTGGGTTGTAAGAAATCTACTTTGTCCCCTTTGGCTTTTAACTGATAAACTTAGTTCTTTTATAGTTATTTTGGTTATTCGTGTAATTGATCTTGTTTCTTAGTGTCTCATTCTGTGCTTTCTATTTATCTCACCTTTTCTGTGATTGTTCTATTACAGAGAATTCTATAGTTGGGTTTTTTTCCTGTCATGCCTTATTTTGGATTTTTTAAATTGAATCCAAGTTTTCTTATTCAATTTTTTTCATCTCTGCTAATTTGGAAAGTGCATATACTATTTTTGTTCTTTTAGTGGTTACCTTACAAGTTTTAACATGCAAACTTTAAAGCTAAAGTTAAACCATTTTCTTAGCTTTCCTCCTTATAAATACAAGGACTTTAAAATGTTTTATCTCTGGTACCTCCCTCCCAACTTACATGCTACCATTGTCCAGAATATACAGACAGTGTTTGTTTTCACTTACTCATGTAGTTACTGCTTTCTGCTTCATTTTTTCTTGTATCATAGACCTTTCATCTGGGAATTTCCTTCTGCCTGAGATTCATCTTTGAGAATTTTCTTTTACAAAGCCTGCGTGGTGTCAAACTCTTTTTTATAGATCTGCAAATCCTTTTACGGCTCTCATTCTTGTAAGATACTTTTGCTGGATATATATATTCTAGAAAGACAGTTATTGTCTGTTGTTGAAGGTAACACTTGACTCTCTTCTGACTTTCATTGTTATTGTTAAGCCAGCTGTCATTTTAATTGTTGGTTTCTTTGTAGATAACTAGTTTTAAAACAATTTTAAAAATATTTGTAGTTGCTTTTAATATCTTTGTCTTTGGTGAATGACAATTTCAGTACTATGTTTCTAGTTGTGGATTTTTTTTTTTTTTTTATCTTGTTTGGGATTTGTTGGGCTTATGAAATCAGGGGTTTGGTGTTTTTCATCAGTTCTGGAAAATTCTTGGCATTTGCTTCTGTCCCATGCATTCTCTTCTCTTTCTGGGACTTCGATTAGATGTATACTAGACCTTTTTGCTCAGTCCTCTGTGTCTATGTCTCTTAACCTCTCTCTCATATTTTCTATCTCTTTGCTCTCTGTGATTTGAAGCCAGACAAGATTGAGGTAGGTAAATATGAACACCAGATTTGCCCTAGTGGCAAATGCTAATATTATCCCTGTGATCCAGGGATCCTGGGATCCAAAAAACCTTGAATCTAACCCAAGAGTTGCAACTGAGATGTTTGCATGAAGACAAGACCTTTGAGGGACTGAGGCATATCATCTTATCTCCTGGCAGATGCAAATCTAGATGCTATATAAATAAATGAAAGCACCCCTAGTTTAAGGCCTAAGGATCCCCATATATTAAGTTCAACCAAATATGAGCTCATAAACAAAAACGTAAGTAACCCACCATGGGTGAAAACACAAACAACAAGCTTCATATTTGGACATCCAGATACTTCAAATACTATGAATTTTTTTCTTTATTTGAACTTAAAATGTATTTAAAGGTATGTTTGCTTTAATTCACTTGGAATCTAGTTTTATTGTGACAGCAGAGCCCATTGGGACATCTAGTCTGTCATACTGGCATAAGCGGAAACCTTTATAGTGAAAATTTTAAGAGACAGTATCTCACCTGTTGCCCAGCCTGGAGTGCAGTGGCCATAGCTCTCTGTAACCTTGAATTCCTGTGCTCAAGCAGTCCTCCCAAGCAGCCGAGACTACAGCTGCATGCTACCACACCTGGCAAATTTTTTTTTTTTTTTTTTTTTTTTGAGACAGAGTCTCACTGTGTTGCCCGGACTAGAGTGCCGTGGCATCATCCTAGCTCACAGCAACCTCAAACTCTTGGGCTCAAGCGATCCTCCTGCCTCAGCCTCCCGGGTAGCTGGGACTACAGGCATGCGCCACCATGCCGGCTAATTTTTTCTATATATTTTTAGTTGTCCAATTAATTTCTTTCTATTTTTAGTAGAGACAGGGTCTCGCTCTTGCTCAGGCTGGTTTTGAACTCCTGAGCTCAAACAATCCGCCTGCCTCGGCCTCCCAGAGAGCACACCTGGCAAATTTTAAAAAATTTTTTTTAGAGATGGGGTCTTGCTGTGTTGCCCAGGCTGGTCTGAACTCCTGGCCTCAAGCAGTTCTCTGGTCTCAAGCAATTCTCCTGCTTCAGCTTCCCAAAGGGCTACGATTAAAGGCATGAACCATTGATGGTCGTGCTTCTCTTACGAGATTTTTTGCAGAGCTTGGAAACAACTTCTTTTAAAGTTATTGGCATCTATTACTTTTTCCAAATTGATAAAAGTGCTTGGAAAAGATTGTATGGAATGATTAATAAAATGATAATTTAAGAACTCCTTAATAAGATGAAAATTAGAATCAAAATGTATATATTGTATCATAATAAGCTAGCTTTGATAATCTTATGTATTAGAAATATATCATCATTTTTCTGAACATATCTTCCAATTTTTAAAAACTTAATTACCAGTATTTCTTCAACTCTTTTCTCCCCTGGAATTTTCAGGCGTAACATTCATGGTGTAAGCAAAGAAAAAATAACAAGAATGTTGGAACACTATCAACGCTTTGTTTCAGTGCCAATAATCATGAATTCTGCGGTTCCAGAGAAAATTGAACGTATCGAGTTGTGTGCATGTTCTTGTGAGGATAAAAGTACTAGGTAGGTTAAAATGCCTTATGTACAAAATTCAATTTGAGACGTTTTAAAAAAGTATAATTTTGGAGCTTAGAAATCACTGCTGATTAAGTTTAGCAATAAAGTAGACTTTTTGTTATTTATAAGGGTTTAGGTATATAGTCTTACCTGGAGTAGGATGTATATAGTTAGCAGGACAAGTTCATGTGAGCGATGACATGAGAATTTTTTCATTGTCCTCAGAATTTTGTAATTCCATGATTATACTATGAATACTCCTGTCCTTTTTATGTAATGTCCTCTGCTGTTCCAATATTTCCCTTATCTTCTTGCTGTTGTTGTTTTGTATCTACTCAACATCACTTCTTATTTCCTTAGGTTTTGGTAAAAATAGCCTTTTAAACTAATATTATAAAAATTACTTATTAATGGTATACTTAGTAATATAAGTCATAGCCTTCTAAAAGTTTACAATCTGAGATAGTACTGCTTTTATTAAGCATTTAAGACACATACACAATTGAATAAATGAGTTTAGAAGAACCTAAATACATGTATAGGTCTAAATCATCCATATTTTATGATGGTAAGGGATGGAGAGGCTATGTTAAAAAGGAATTGGGAGTGGAGAAGAGAAAATTTATAAATACCTTTTTATTGGGAAGTAGTGTAGTAAAGTGATTAAGAGCATGGCCTCTTGAGCTGTATTTCCCAAGTTCAAATCCCAAACCTTTGTAATCTTTGACAAGTTACAAAATCTCTCTTATACTTCAGCTCTTATTTCTCAAATGGCAGTAATAGCGCTCTGTTCATGAAGATCTCATAAGGATCGTGAATCAGTACGTGCAAAGGACTTAGAATAGCATCTGGCACATACAAAATTCAATTAATGTTAGGTATGGTTTCACTTAGGAAGCCTTCGTGGGAGAGTTGGGACTCTGAGAGCCCCTGGAATAAGGAAAGAAAGGAAGATGAACTGACAAATTGAATAAGGAAAAATCACTGAAATTGAAAGTATAATGATTAGGCAAAAGTGTTCCGAGTCTGAAATTAACGTTGAAGATGGTTTAAAAAATTTCACAAATGACATTTCAAATGAACTCTCCTCCCCTCTTTCTCTAATTTCTCTTAATCATGCAAATCATGTTCTGTTGGCTCTTTGTGGCTTTGTGAGTGGAGCTTCCTCTGCAGCAAATGATAGATTGGTAGTATAGAGGCAGACCTAGTTTTACAAATGCAAAGCTTAGATAGATCAGAAAGAAGCCAGGAACAAATTCAGAGCCTTAACTTTAATATTTAATGCATAATAAACACTTAAACTGAAATCTCATGTATACTATTTAACTGGAAAAAAGTTCGAGTGCTTCATATATGCCAGGCATCATGCTAGGTACTAGGTTTATAAGAAAGGAATGTGTTCATAGTGTATTAGGGAAAGCTCAAGATTAGCTTTTTTAATTTTAATGTAGTTTATTTCTAGAATTTTCAGAATAAGTGTAAGTTCACTGTCAGTCAAATGCTTCTTTAAATTAAATATAGTATTAATGACAACATTAAGAGACTTCCTTATGATACTTTAAAAAAAAATCTTACAGCCCAAGAGAAAATGAAGATATCACCTCTGAAAAAGAAGATAATGTTTTATCTTCATCGTTGAAGCACCTAGAGTTAATTGAAGAGAAAAGTCTTGAAGTCACCAAAGAAACTATGTTACCTGTGAATGTTACTTATCTCCCTAATGCAGATTTAAACAAAGGAAGAGAAGAAATAAGTGGTATGAGTCAAAACATTCAAAGTACTTTCGTTCAGGAAGTTCCACACATGTATTTTTCTGACTCTGAAAGCAAAGTAAGAGTGATGGACAAAAGTGAAGAAGAAGTAGAAATGTCATCTGAAAAAGAATGTGGTAATACTGATGCAGATAGTTCTATAGAGGGAGGATCACCGAGTATTTGCTATGATGAAAATAATCAAGAAGACTGTGATCTTGTAAATACTGTATTCCTTCAAAATGGAAAATCTTCACCTGGCGAAACATTAGAAGAAAGAGCAACAGTAAAGAAAAAAGCCTTTGGGAAACAAAAAAGTAAATCAGCTTTGGAAAAGTTCCCGAGACATGAGCTATCAAATTTTGTTGGTGACTGGCCAGTTGATAAGACTATTGGTCAGAGGACAAAAAGGAACCGGAAAACTGAAAAAGCATCTGTACAAAGTGACAAAAAGTACAATTGCCCTCAGTCGTGCAAAGTATTAGATAATAGTGTATCTGTGAATATAGATTGTATCCAGAAACAAGGATCTCCACATGAAAGTGTAGAGGATGGCAAGAAGTCACAGGGTGATGATATTTCGGAGCCACTCAATAGCTATAAATGTGATCCTTATAAAAATACTGAAAAAAACTCATTCCACATTGTGGGTGATTGGCCTTCATCTGATTCTTTAGTTCAGAGGGAGCACAGATCAAGAATGGCAAAGACTGGTTTAAATGAACCCGACCTAGAACTTGGAACAAATGACAATATGAGTGAAATATCCTTACACACAGTACATGAGGCCTGTTGGAGCACAAGCCTTGAAAAACTAAGAACATTGGGTAGCTCCAGTCCAGAAAATTCTGAAATGCTACCCAGTGAAATGACCTGTGAGAGTCAGAGTTGTCTAAGTAAAAAGATTCATGGGCAACACACATTGCCTCTTACCAATAGTGCACCAACTATTCCTGGAGTAGTAGGACCACAAACTTCAGGTGAATTTCCAGAGGGAATGCCTAAAGGAGTCCCTGGAATAGAAGTAGGCATGTGTACTCAGACTGAACCACAGGATTTTGCTCTCTTATGGAAAATAGAAAAGAATAAAATTAGTGTTTCAGATTCTATCAGAGTATTAACAGGAAGATTAGATGGATTTAAGCCGAAAGTTTTCAATATTAACACAAATTCAGATGTTCAAGAAACAATTCCATATAGGGTAATGTACGATAAGAGCACATATGTTGAAGAAAGTGAGCTTACCAGTGCTGATGAATCCGAAAATCTTAACATTCTTTGTAAACTATTTGGATCTGTTTCATTGGAAGCCCTAAAAGACCTATATGAGAGGTGTAATAAAGATATTATTTGGGCTACAAGCCTTTTGTTGGATTCTGAAACTAAATTATGTGAAGATACTGAATTTGAGAATTTCCAAAAATCATATGATGAATCACAAATTGGGCCATTTTCTCTGGGATTGAATTTGAAAGAAATTATTAGCCAAAGAGGAACTTTAGAGGATTCTAATTCTTCTGTGTCAAACTTTAGCCATGGAATTGGTATCAGTAACACTAATACACAGTCTACCTGTGATACAGAAAATGAGCACTCAGAGCAGGCAGAAATAAGAGCTAAAACTCCTGAAAAACCTGATTTAATAACAAGTATATTTCCTAGTGCTGCTGTAGATCTAAAGAATAATAGTGAAACACTTCCTAACAGTCAGACAGAACTTTTACATAGCATTAAGCAGACTTTTCCAGGTATTTCAAAAGCTACTACCCCTAAAGATGTGAATGAAATGGAGAAAAATCTAATAGTCACAGAGACTGGAGATGATACACATTCTTCTTTAAATTTGTCCATTTTAAACTCTGTGTCAGGCACTTCAAATCTTGAATTAAATGAAGAAATTTATTTTACGGACTCTATTGAAATAAAGAAAAATGAAAATCTTCCAAAGGATTGTGTGAAATTTCTAAACACAGAAGAATTTATGAATGAAGATGAGCAGGAAATGGAGAAAATTCTAATGACAGGGAGTAGTTTGTCAGCTGGAGTTAGTGAAGAAGATAAAACTGAGATACTGAATCCCACTTCAGTGATGACCACGTCTCTAACCATAGACTGTCTGGAATTGGCATTACCCCCTGAACTGGCTTTTCAACTCAATGAATTATTTGGCCCTGTTGGTATTGATTCAGGTAAGGAAAAAGTAAATTAGTTACATGGGTGCCTTTGTGTGAATAGACTATAGAGGGTTCTATTTTGATTATAAAATTATTTCATATTAATGTGTGTATAATATATACATACACATTATATATACGTATAACATATGTATTAACTGAAATGTAAAAGTAATTTGTGTTGCCTAACTTCACGTAGTGTCTTATTTTTGACACAACATGTTTTAAAGGATTTTTAAAAATGTAATTTGAAGAAATAAGGAATATTTATATGGAGTTTGTGTTCATCCTATGCATGTGAAAGTTTTCTCCGGTATTTACCACACATGTATTTGTACAGACGAAGCTTCTTGAATCCTCTGGTGCTACTCCAGATACATTTAGGCAAGATTAATTTTTTAGAATACATTTATTGAAAAGTCTTGGCTAATGGAAATAAATATATTTAGACTAACAGAAATGGATAACTTAAAATAGATTTATTTGTTTTTTAAAATAGATTTATTATGAAGCTTTGTATAATTGTTTTATTCAAGAAGTGTGAAAACGATAACATAGCATATAACATAAAGATATTACAAGAGATTTAGTAAATAGAAACATAAGTTAGTAATTAATAATACAAGTTAGTTTTATGATGTATAAGGTGGTTGAATGTTTTTTGCAAACACATAATGAGCAATGATTATATTTTCTTTTCTCCCCCCACCGCCCCCCCCAAGGATCCCTAACAGTTGAGGATTGTGTGGTTCATATAGATCTGAATCTGGCTAAAGTGATTCACGAGAAATGGAGAGAATCTGTGATGGTTCGTAGGCCTCTTTTTGTAAAGAGCTCCTGTTACATCCATTTTGTCATCTTTGCTTTTCTGTAAAATCTACCATGTTATGTGAAAGAGTTCTGTTGAGTTTTGACTTTGACTTTTTATTTGAACTTTGACTTTGGTTTCTTTTTTCCCCTCTTTCCAGTATTTTGAATATTTCCAGACTGGCCAAATTATATAATTAGTGATGGAGCTCAATGTGATTGTTGATTTGTTTTTTTAAAGGAAAAAAAAATCATATAAACAGCATTTTACTCCTGAAATTAAAGACTGCAATGCCGGCCGGGCGCGGTGGCTCATGCCTGTAATCCTAGCTCTCTGGGAGGCCGAGGCAGGCGGATTGTTTGAGCTCAGGAGTTCGAAACCAGCCTGAGCAAGAGCGAGACCCCGTCTCTACTAAAAATAGAAAGAAATTAATTGGACAACTAAAAATATATAGAAAAAATTAGCCGGGCATGGTGGCGCATGCCTGTAGTCCCAGCTACTCGGGAGACTGAGGCAGGAGGGTCGCTTGAGCCCAGGAGTTTGAGGTTGCTGTGAGCTAGGCTGACGCCACGGCACTCTAGCCCGGGCAACACAGTAAGACTCTGTCTCAAAAAAAAAAAAAAAAGACTGCAATGCCGATTAATTAAATTAAAAATAGGCTTTTAGAAAGTGCAACATAAGAGCTTTATAAGTGGAAAAAATATATAGATGTCGTCATACCTTATAATTTCATTTATCTAGTTTTATTGTTTTACTTATATTTAGTAAGAATTATTTACAGTTGTATAAGGAGAAGTGATTTCTAGAGAAAAAATAACGTAACCTTGTAACTTTATTTACTAATGAACCCCTTCTTTGCCAATCCTCTGCCCTGCATTTATGTTTAGGAGCGACAAAGACAAGAAGAGGTATCCTCCGGCAAATTTATGCAAGGTAAAGCACATATTTTTACTTCTAACATTCTTGTCTCAGTGGTGAAACTTGGCGTGTATGTTTGAATTTTAACTCATTCTAAATATACTTCCATAAAATGTTACCCACAAATTTTCATTTGCAAATAAAAGTTCTTTAAAAATATTTAACATTTAATGTTGATATAAAATAAAACTGAGAGGAGAAAAAAAGCCCCTATAATAGATATTTAACTTTCATGAGTGCTCTGGAACACCTAAGATGTGCTCTAGTACATGTAGTCAAAGTGTTTCCTGTTAAGGTTTTGCTCTGCATGAAAGAAAACTGTTTTGGTTTGCAAGCAACAGATGTTCATGTGTGTGATAGAGAGCATTGTTGAAATGATTACTTGGTTATTCAAAATTCTATTGATGTCAGTGTTATTAGAGCACAAAAGTCAGCTGCTTTTTTGATGCATTCTGCCAACTTGAAAATATTTAATTACAAATGGCTTCTCTTAGTATTGTCTTCAGTGTTTATTGCAGGTTGGTAGAACTGTTATTAGGGCTTCTCCTTTTGTGCATGAGTTTCTCTAGATGCCTCTTTTGTCCACTCCACACTGGAACCAAGGCAGAGAGCGCCAGGTTGAAGATTCTTAGGATCTGCTTTGGTTCAGACTTGTGCTCATGTTGTACTTCAAGAGCTGAAGCTATTCGAGGAATAGAGGGTATCATGGTGTACAGATACCATTGTCAGCTGTTTCTTTGCTCCCCAGGAAAGCATAGGAATATATCAGAATGTGTTGATATCCCTTAGAGATGCTGAAATGTAGCACATTAAATTCTGTTATTATGAACTTCTTAAATGTTCAGTTATTTTGAATATCACTTCAATAGTCTTTATTGTGTACCTCCACTGAGTTATATGTTTGTCAAAATATTGATCTTCTCAGTTCTTAGAATGGGTGGGCAGAGCTGACCAGATATGTTCTAGTTGTTCACTTCCAGCTGACTATAACTTCCTCAGTTTACCTGTGTCCAATATACATGTCACCATTTTTTGTGTTTTGATGCAGTAAGAAAAAGAGTGGGAAACATTGAGTCAGTTTAAAATTAAACCCAGATCATGGCTCATTTGAGGTATTTGTACATTAACATATATCAATTCTTGCAAATCTATGAAGATATATTTTGAAATTTCAGAGTTATGTTTTATTTACAAACTGAAACATGAAAAACCGTGTTTCCTTGGTTTCTTGAGGTAGATATAACACAGTGAATAATGTTTAATTTGTATATTTATTGTTGAGAGTATGATACTATTTATACTGTTCTTGTAGAGCCTTCGGTGGTTGGACATACTGGTCTTGATAATCCAGAACAAAAATCATCTCAGAGAACAGGCAAAAAATTACTGAAGACTTTAGCAGCACCTGAAATGCTACCCTTACTGGATCATTGGAATACTCAAACTAAAAAAGTATCACTAAGAGAAATAATGTCAGAAGAAATTGCCTTACAGGAAAAACATGATCTGGTAGGAGTTAGTATAAATATTAAGCTGTTGTTTTTGACTCTAGTTGGTTTTGTGTGTTTACTTTGTGATTTTCATTTGCTTCTATATTTCCTAGTCTAGAATCCATATTTAACGTGATTGAAGTTAATGTTAAAATTGAAGAATGTTTTAAGTATACTTTGAAGCTGGAGGTTTTCACTTCCAGGAAATTAGTTGATACTCTGTAACAGTAAGCCATCTATGTTAAATTTGTGTGTTAGATATAATTTTGCAGGTGATTGAGCTACATCTTTCTTAGCATTTATTATTTACCTCTAAATTTTTATAGAAAATCATGAAAAAAATCTTTTATAATTTCATATATAAACTAGTAATAAGAAATGTCTTGCTATTACAGATATGTCTATCTTTTTATTCTTTTTTTTTTTTTTTGGAGAGAGAGTCTCACTCTGATCCCCAGGTTAGGGTGCCATGGCATCAGCCTAGCTCACAGCAACCTCCAACTCCTGGGCTCAAGCGATCCTTCTGCTTCAGCCTCCCAAGTAGCTAGGACTACAGGCATGAGTCATGACGCCTGGCTAATTTTTTCTATATATTTTTAGTATAGATGGAATCTCACTCTTGCTCAGGCTGGTCTCGAACTCCTGACCTTGAGTAATCCTACCGCCTTGGCCTCCCAGAGTGTTAGGATTACAGGCGTGAGCCACCACGCTGGCCAAGATATGTCTATCTTTGAAACAACATTTTTTAAGGAAAAATTTTAGAAACTTATGAATTTGAGTTTAAAAAATTAAATACTCTTCCTTTTCAATTAAAGAAGTTCAAACAGAAACTTCACTTTCCTTTGAACTTGCTTTATTTTTGTTCCTTATTTCAACGTATTTAATTATCTATGAAACCATTAAGTGAAGTTGTTTTCTTTTGCATTTCTTCTTAATCCTTTTTGGAATTCTGAAAATTAGTACTAAAGAATTTCAAAATCTTCTTACTCTGAGCAGGGCAATAGGAGAAAAAAAAAGAATTTCAAAATCAAAAGGGAAAAAACCTTGTTTAGTCCAATTCTCACGGGAAAAAATTCTTAGATCGTGAGCTTAAAATGTTTTATGCTCTTTCTTACTCATTTGACTCCCCAAAGCAGCACCTTTATATTTGGCTGTAATATATATAGAATTGGGGCATAGGAAGAATGACAGGATTTTTCCATCTTCATATTTATTTATTTCTATCTTGTTCATTAAATTGGAAATATGCGTTCATTCCTATTTTTGCATTCTAACATAATCCAAGGAACAATCTCTTTAGTAGATCTTATAATTTTAGTGTTGTATCAAATAACCTCTTCAAATAATATATGTAATAATTTGGAGAAATAGATTTTCTTAAAAACAAAAATAAGGAAAGCCTAATACTTATGCCCAAATGGTGTGATTCTTTTTGTTGAAATGCTATTTTCTAGTACTGAAATTTATCTTTATGGTCCTAACTTGCCTTTAGTATCTCAGTATAATTGTGAACAAATGAGCATCTTTTGACTTCACAGCATAATATGTTTTTTTTCTATGAATGATTTTTGCTTGTCTTTCTATGGCTTGGGTAATAGAAGCTGGATGACTTCGTCCCAAGGATATGCTTTTTTTTTTTTTTGAGACAGAGTCTCACTCTCTTGCCTAGGCTAGAGTGCCGTGGTGTCATCCTAGCTCACAGCAACCTCAAACTCCTGGGCTCAAGCGATCCTTCTACCTCAGCCTCCCAGGTAGCTGGGACTACAGGCATGCGCCACCATGCCCGGCTAATTTTTTCTATTTTTAGTTGTTTGGCTAATTTCTTTGTATTTTTAGTAGAGACGGAGTCTCACTCTTGCCCAGGCTGGTCTCGAACTCCTGAGCTCAAACGATCCTCCCGCCTTGGCCTCCGAGAGTGCTAGGATTACAGGCGTGAGCCACCGTGCCTGGCCAAGGATATGCTTTTTTACATAAAGGCTCAGTAAGAAAATTTCTTGATGCTTCTCCTCACTCTTTGGTCCCAAAGGAGAAATACACTTTGTATATTTTTTAAAAGCAAAGAATATAAAATAAACTTTACACATAATATAACACATAATATATGAATAATTAATTGTAAGATGATTAAGGTCATTCATTTTCATTAGTTCATTAGCTTCATTCATAGTTCATTAGACCTCAGAATTTGTAGTTTAGATACTATGAACTGATAGATTGCTAGGAAATCTGATCATTGAATTTTATAGTAAGTTTAGATTATAAATGTATATCTTAAGTAAAATGTGAAAACGTTTTAAAATTATTTATATTAATATGTTTACTTATTTGTTTAAATTCATTTTATTTTATTATTTTTTTGAGAGATGGGATCTTGTTCTGTTGCCCAGGCTGGAGTGCAGTGGTCCAGTCATAGCTCACTGCAGCCTCAAACTCCTGGGCTAAAAGTCATCCTACTACCTTGGCCTCCTAAGTAGCTGAGACTACAGGCACGTGCCACTGTGCCCAGCTAATTTATTTTATTTTACTTTTTTAGAGATGGGGTCTCGCTATATTGCCCAGGCTGGTCTCAAACTCCTGGACTCAAGTGATCCTACTGCCTCCACCTCCCAAGTAGCTGGGATTCCAGGCATGAGCCACTGTGCCTGGCTATGTGTGAAATACCTTTAATTCTTGAGGTGGCTTGTTTCCATCACTCTCGTGATATGTTCAGCTTTATCAGTCCTTTTTACTTATCATATTGTCACTTATTGTGGTTCCTCTTTTATTGCTGTTTGGTGTTACAAATGGCCTAAATATGGTTAGGCTTCAAAACAAATAACTGTTCTAGGATTGCCCGGGATTATTGTAATTTTTAAATTTAGGGATTTTCAGAATCACTTCATTGCCTTTGAAATTGTATAGGAAGTAATTTTTCAGACATTAGGATCTTTGTAGCAAACAAAAATTATTTAGTTACATTGTAATGTTGACTAGTTGTCACTTTAAGAGTATTTACCATAATCCTAGGTTAAAATAGCATATTTTAGGGAAATTCTTTTGGTCTGGCAATTTAAATAGACAAATCCAAATATGTTTTGCAAAAAGTAACATAATTCTTATACATTTATTTTGGAGTAAATGTATTAGTGAAAATTTAAAAATAATTGTGAATTCTAAGATTTTCTGTCAATCTGCATTTGCAACTTATTCGTACATCGTAGTTTCTGCCCATTGAGGAGAATTTGTTTTTGAGGATGTTGTTCCCAGCATCACACAGGGTCACTTTTACGAGGACCCAGGGGAGAAATTTCTCTCAGGTCTCAGTACCAGAAAAAGCTGTACTTCTCCTGAGCAACCGGTTTGTTTTTATTTTATGGACACTGAGAATCTTTGTTTCCCCCTTTGCTTTGGCCACTAAGAGACTGAGAACTAAATTTGTGGCCCACCTTTAGCAATTGTACAGGATTTTGTGGCATGCATTTGTATACTAATTTTACATGCTACCTTTATTCTGTATTCTTACCTTTATTTTCACTACTCTGTGGCTTGATTTATTTATATCCTGTTTATTTATGTGTGTGTATATAATATATATATCTTCATCCTTTTTATGATTTAATATCATGTGCATACGTGAGAGTGTGTGTATATATATTTGCATACATAGTGTACACACATGTATATGTGATTGTGTGTGTGTATATATATTTATGAGCAACTTTAAATACTTTGCAAAAATGGGATATAAATAAATAATGCAAGAACACTTAACTAATTTCAGCCTTTAAATGGTGAAGAAAGTCTGTGATTGCTTTTGAACTGTTAGTCTTTTTGCAACAAAATAACCATGCTTTTGGTCAGCATTGCTAGTATTATAAATTCCGTCTTAAGGGTGACTTTTGTGTTTTTGTTTTAGAAAAGGGAGACACTTATGTTTGAAAAAGATTGTGCCACTAAACTAAAGGAGAAGCAGCTCTTTAAGATATTTCCAGCCATTAACCAGAATTTCCTGGTGGACATTTTCAAGGACCACAAGTGAGTGCTTGTAGGATTGTCTGTAATTTCTACTCTAATGTCACTGAAAACATATGCCATACGTTTTAATCCTTTATGTTTATTTTTCTGATAACAAAAATAATATATGTATACAGTAATCGCCCCTTACCTGTGGTGGATGCGTTCCACGACTCAACCATGGATGCCTGAAATTGTGAATAGTACCGAACACTATATATACTATGTTTTTTCCTATGCATATATACCTATGATAAAGTTTAATTTAGAAATTACACACAGTAAAAGATTAACAATAATAACTAATAATAAAAATAGAGCAATTATAACATTATACTATAATAAAAGTTATGTGAATGTGATCTCTCTCTGTCTCAAAATACAGTTGTCCCTCAGTATCCGTGGAGGATTTGTTCCATGGCAACTGCCTCACCCCCACGGACACCAAAATCCGTGGATGTTCAAGTTCCTTATATAAAATGGCATAGTATTTGCATATAACCTATGCATATCCTCACATATACTTTAAATCATCTGTAGATTACTTATAATATGCATCACAATGTAAATGTTATGTAAATAGTTGTTATACTGTATTGTTTAGAGAGTAATGAGGAGAAAAAAAAGTCTGTACATGATCAGCATAGTTGCAACCATCTTTTTTTTTTCCTAATTTTTTTCCCTATATATATTTTTAGTTGTCTGGATAATTTCTTTCTTTTTCTATTTTTGGTAGAGACGGGGTCTCGCTCTTGCTCAGGCTGGCCTCGAACTCCTGAGCTCAAATGATCCTCCCACCTCGGCCTCCCAGAGTGCTAGGATTACAGGCGTGAGCCACCATGCCCAGCCTTTCCTAATATTTTTGATCTGAAGTGGGTGGAATGTATGGAGGGCCCACTGTGATGTAATATTTTTGGACCTTCATTGACCTTGGGTAACTGAAACCTGGGAAAGTGAAACCTAAGATGATGTACATAATGTAGAAATGAGCAGTATATAATAAGCAATTCCTAGCAGTTCATACTCCTCGTTAATTTTTTTCATATGTATGCTAATGTGTATGTGCATATATGTCTGCTTATATGCTTTTGTGTGTATATATACATTTGTATTCCACCAGAAAAGAGGTGGTATTTTATGTACTACTTTGTAGTTTTGCTGGTATTTATTTTTTCTCTCCATACATAATGATCTGCTCTTTTCTTTTTTAAGTTTACATAGTATTCTCTATTAGGGAAGTACCATAATTTATTTAAACATTTTTGCATTTGTGAACTTTCTGACTGTAAGAAATATTGGAAACCATGTTCCAATGAGCATCCTTGAACATACATCTTTGAGTATCTGGATGAATGCTGTTATTCCTAAAAGTAAATTGCTGGTTCAGAGTGCATACATTTAAAATTTTAATAGCCAATGACAAATTCCCTTTAATAAAGATTGTCTGTATTAGTTATACATACTAACAATGTAACCTCCCTGGGTATTAGGAAGTTAAAAAATTTTGCCAGTCTGATGAGGAAAATGATATTTTATTTATTTAAACTTTCCTGTTACTAGTATGGGTAAGCTTTTTGTTTATTTTTTTATTAATTGCTTGCTTTTTGCCTGTTTTTGTTTCTATTTCTTTCTAGACTTATAAAAGCTCTTTATATGTTATGTATAGTAATCTTTGTTAAGATAGATTACAATTATTTTTCTTGCTATGACCCTTACCTCTTAACCTAGTGTGGTCTCTTTGGTCATATACACAATTTATATGTTTTATCAGAAAATCTTTTCCTTTATTGTTTTTCAGTTTTATGTCTTATTTAGGCAGTCTGCTTCAACTTGACATTATAAAAATATTTTCTTTATTATTTTTAATATCTACCTAGCTTTTTTATGTGTATAGTATGAGGTAGAGATTTATAAATGAGGAGATTTAACTTGTTTTTCCAAACAATTAACTGGATGAATGGGTCATCTTTACCACTGGTACAAAGTATAATCATTAATATTCATTACATTCCCAAATATACAGTTTCTTTTAAAGACTTCGGTTGCATTGAGCTATTTGTTAGGTCCTGAGTTGTCATCATATTGCTTTAGTTATTGTAGTGTTACAGTATGTTTTGATGTTTGATATATTAGAAATGCTTCGGTTTGAATTATATATGCTTTTGGTCATATATTTTTCTTAAATTCCTATTTTAGCAAGACACTTTTTTAGGATCTTTTGAAAATCTAGTATAGGTTTTGATCCTCAGTTTATTAATATATTTCGTATCAATCACGATAATGGATTTCTGGAATAAAGTCTACTTTACTTTCACGTTTTTCCTTTTGTTTTTTTTCCTGTAATGCAAAGAACTTAGTACCTTGAAGGTTCTGGGATTGTACCTCCTAAGAGAGTCGGTCTTTAGTAACCTTTCACTATCTTTTTAAGGTTATTACTTTCTTCAGATGTTTGCTTTCTTTCATGAGTCATTTTGGCCATTTGTCTTTGAGAAAATCACCAGCTTTATCTTGGCTTTCAAGTTTATTATTGTTAAGCTGTATATAATATTTTATCATTAAAAACTATATTGTATTTGATCATATCCCTTTCTCCTTTCCAAATGTCGCATATTTCGTGTTTTCTCTGTTTTACTCTTTATCAGATTGGTCTTTTAAAGAACAAACTCTTGGCTTGTTGGTCATAGTCTATTGTTTTATGTTCTCTAATTATTTATTTTTACAGATTCCTCTCTATTAAAATCTATTTATTTTCAACTCTTTGATTAGTTTGTTTCAGTTTTTAATAACATATTATACAATTAAGGTATGCATTTTTCTCTGTATATGGTTTCGATTTTGATATAGTGTTTTTATTTTCACTATTTTTTAGATGATCTCTAGTTTCAGTTTGATTTTCTATTTACCCAAGAGTTTCTAATTTTCTAAATGGCTTGTTGGCTTTGGTGGTAAATGGTAGGGGAAGGTTATTGCTTATTTTATTTTGTTGTATTGGAGTGCAAGAATGTGGCCTGGAAGAGTTCTGTTTTTTGGAATTTGATGCTTTCTTTGTGCTTTAATACGTGATTAACTTTTACAAATATTATATGAAAGTACAGGTTAAGCATTCCAAATCCAAAAATCTGAAATGTGAAATGCTCCAAAACCTGAAACTTTTTGTGCACTGACATAATACCACAAGTAGAAAATTCCATACCTGACTGCTTTGCTTTCTGATAGTTCATGTGAAACATAAATGAATTTTGTATTTAGACTTGGGTCCCATCCCCCAAGATATCTCATTATGTATATGTAAATATTCCAAAATTCAAAAACATCCGAAATCTGAAACACTTCTGGTCCCAAGTAGTTTGGATAAGGGATACTCAACTTGTACTTTTGAAAAGAGTATTTATTCTCTGCTGAGTATGCAGAGTTCTAAATAAGTCACTTAAATCAAGGTTTTAATGGTTTTATTCCAATCCATAATTTCCTTGTTAATTTTTGCTACCTAACTTGCAGTTTTCACAAAATTATGTGTTAAAATCTCCTAAAAGCTGGGGCTTAAGGGCTTGGTGCTGGCATATGGTACTCTGTTCTATGGGGGCCTAGGGCAAGGGGGCCTGAGGTGAAACTGCCCAGAACTGTGGTTCCTCAGGCAAAGTGAGGGGACTGGGTGTATCCTTTCTGCAGATGGCCCGAGTGATTTGGTCAGTCAGGTAGGTTAGATGGTTGATTGCCATTTGTCTGCCAGCAGCAGGACGATTCTCCTCACATAGCAGTGGTTTCAACTTCCTCCTGGTAAGAAGGGTAGGTGGGCTTAGTTACTACTGTATGTGCTTGAGGTATAATCCTCTGGGGCTGTAACCCTCAGGCAACACCAGTGGTGGATGGAAACTGACTTCCAGCCCCACGCGTGGGTAGGTGACTTTAAGGGCTAGAAAGGATGTGGATAATTGTTGGTAGCATCCACCTTCTAGCATCCTCTCTGTGCTGAGCATATCTGAGGCGGCAAGGTGGGAAGGCTGAAGGGAACTGGTGGCCCAAATGGCTTCCTTTCAAGGGTTGTCTTTAATAAATTGAAGAATAGCAAAATACCCTGCTCTATTTTAGATAACTAATTATATTTCAGAAAATATTCCTATGTAGTCAAGCCCTTCAGTATCTGGCCAGTGGGAGAGATGAGAGGCATAAGTAGTATGAAATAAGGAGCAATATAAAATCATTTATAATTTTATTTGGGATGATTTTCTTTAAATATTGGAACATGAATATATATCAGATATTTGTCAATATTGTAGAATTTCATACAATATAGGATCACCTTGAAAACATGCCTGAGTAATGTAGGAATGAGAGAGGTAGGATGGTGTTTTACTTTTTCTTTTCTGTATCCCCACTTAGACTTTCTTTGATTAGAATCACACTTTTATAAGTAAAAGTGGAATTTGATACAATAAAAATGTCAGCTTAGAGGTCTGTTGTCTGTGATTGATGTTTGAAGGAAACTTTAATAAAAGCATGTGTGAATTCAACAAAGGATTTAAGGAGAATAGATGATAAAATGAAAGAAAGATTTGTTGTGGATAATCTGCCTGGAATAAAAGATCAGAAATTGAATTATCAATATGTTACCTTTTGGTGTTAATTTTTCTAAAATTAATTTTTGAGAGCCTATTACTTGATAGTTTCCCCTCTAAGCATTCCTGACTTTTTGATACACAACGAGCATTTAATTTCAATGTTGAAAACTTAAAAGTAAGCCAGTTTTTTATATTCTTATAAAATGTTTGAATATTGCTTATGTTAATGTCTTTGCATAACTTTTATTTTCATTTATTGATATAGTATGTTTGTACTTAAACTTTCTACAGCTATTCATTAGAACACACAGTACAATTTCTAAACTGTGTTCTTGAAGGGGACCCTGTAAAAACAGTTGTAGCACAAGAGTTTGTTCACCAAAATGAGAATGTCACTTCTAATGCTGCCCAGAAGTCTAAAGAGAAAAAGGTATGAAGTTACTTATTTTTTTCTATAATAGTAGATAATTGTCTATAGAAATATAATTGCTTTGTTGAATATGATAACGTAATGATTGTTTCTCATCATTTTGACTGGATTAAAATTTTAACTACCAATCGCAAATTTGTTTAGAATATCTGTGTACTCAAAAGAATGAATTTATAGGTGATTTTTTTTTCCTTCAATGTGAATGGTAGACAGGCACTGGGATTTCTGCAGTGTCTATGTACTCCACTGTGTGAACACAGTAGAGTATGCAGCTTAACTGAATAGCGGTGGGTCTTAGAGTGTAAACATGTGGGCCGAAATATTGAACCTTTTGAGAAAGTGTCAAACTTTATTCCAAAGCTGGCCGCACCACTTTACATTTCCACCAGAGGGTTACAGTTTCCACCATGAGGGTTACAGTTTCTCCAAATCTTCACTGACACTTATTGTCTGTCTTTTTGATTATATCTATCCTAGTGGGTGTGAAGTTGTTTTAAGGGTACCCAGGATTTGTTTTAATCAGGTGTAGTAAGACATGCAGACATGGAAATGTCATGAAGGAAGAAGTTTATTACACTTACAGATTCCCTAGAAACAGGAGGTGTGGCTTGCTAAAAGACCACATGTGGAGCCAGAAGGGTAGGTCAGGAGGCAGAGGCAGTTGGGGAGGAAATGTGGGCAAAAGTCTTTATTGTGGTCTTTGTGGGAAGGAATGGGCAAGGCAGGGTAAGCAGGTTTAGGATTGGCTAGTTTAAATAATTTTAGCAGGCTCTGGAGCATAAAGGATGCCCCAAGTTGTCTAATACTTGGCCCTGGGATGATTAGGGCAGGTGGGTGGTGGCCTGGAGTGTGAGAGCCACATAAAGGAAGTGCTCTGGGATTGGTTGGCTTGCAAATGAAAGGCGTGCTTGCAGGCAGGTGTTTGCTATCTCAGGGAATTAGTTAAACCTGGAGGGGTGGCAGGGGTGGAGGGAAGTGAGGAAGCAGTCTCTCCAGGGACAGCAAGGCTGCAAGTGTCAACATCAGAATACAGAAAATAAAAGACATGGTTAAAGGCTGGATGTGGTGGTGTGCACCTGTAGTCAGTCCCAGCTACTGGGGAAGCTGAGGCAGGAGGATGGCTTGAGCCCAGGAGTTTGAGGTTGCTGTGAGCTAGGCTAACACCATGGCACTGTAGCCTGGGCAACAGAGTGAGAAATAAAAAAGGGAAAAAAGACATGGTAAATACAGAAACGGTATCTTATTGTGGCTTTGATTTGCATTTCCCTGATGGCTACTGATGTTGAGCATCTTTTTATATGCCATTGGCCATTTGTACCTCTTCTTTGGAGAAATACCTATTTATATTCTTTGCCTGTTTTTAAATTGGGTTATTTCTCTTTATTGTAGAGTTGAAAGTGTTTTTTGTTTTAATATATTCTAGATACAAGTCCTTGTCAGATACAAGATTTACAAATATTTTTTCCCTTTTTATAGGTTGCCTTTCCATTCTGTTGATTGTTTCCTCACTGAAGTCTTTGGATTAGATGAGGTTCAGTTTGTCTAGTTTTGCTTTTGTTGCCTGTGCTTTTGGTATTGTATTCAGGAAATTGCCAAATCCAACTTCATGAAGCTTTCCCCCATGTTTTCTTCTAAGAGTTTTATAGTTTTGGGTCTTTAATCCATTTTGAGTTCATCTTTGTATATGTTGTGAGAATGGGGTCCAAGTTTATTTTTTTGCGTGTGCTTATCCAGTTGTCCTGGTACCATTTGTTGCAGAGACTCTCCTTTCCCCATTGAATTTTCTTAGCACTCTTGTTGAAAATAAATGGACTGTAATTGTACAGGTTTATTGCTAGACTCTGAATTCTATTCCATTGATCTATATATCCATCCTTATGTCTATACCACACTGTCTTGATTACTGTAGCTTCGTAGTAAGTTTTGAAATTGAGAAGTGTGTCTTGCCAACTGTGTTCTTCTTTTTCAAGATTTTGGCTATTCTGGGCCCCTTGCATTTCCATGTGAATTTTAGGATCAGCCTGTCAATTTCTTCAAAGAAACCAGTTGGAATTTTGATGGGGCTTGTGTTGAATCTGTAGCTCAGTGTGAGGAGTATTGCCCTCTTACCAATCTTAAGTCTTCCGATCCATGAACATGGGGTATTTTCAATTTATTTACATCTTCTTTAATTTCTTTCAACAGTGTGCTATAGTTTTCAGAGTATAAGTTTTGTACATCTTTTGTTAAATTTATTTCTATATACAGTATTTCATTTTTTTTGATTCTATTATAAATGGAATTGTTTATTTTTGGATTATTTATTGCATATGCATAGAAATATAATTGATTTTATATATTAATCTTGCATCAGCATTAGATTTTTTACAGAACTTTATCACCTGCTATTCTTATTAATAAAACTACTCAGGGATAAATTGCATACTCCTTTTTTTCTTTGAATGTTTCATCATCAGTTAGTTGATATGTAGGACTCAGGTAATTTAGGTTTTCATGTGATCTGTTAGTGCTACCATTGATCCCTTTGTCCAGCTGGAGAACATGGTACCACGGATGGATAGATGCAATATATTATAAAATGCAGATAGTGTGGGAGATGATTATGAGACCTTCTAAGCCAAGTTGGCAATGAAGATTACTTCTCTCTCCTGATGGTATACAAGGTACTGTGGGTCATTGTGGTGATAGAGAAGGTGATGAGAAGAAGGTGTGCTTGCTCAAAGGGGAGGTGATTGGAAAATGTAATGAGAGGAGGAATTTTTGTGAGTTGTGTAAACCTTGCCCAAAATGTAAACTTTAAATTATTCTGGAGATTCTTATTCTTAGCCTTGCCCACAAAATGTAGGTGGATGTTGTAAAACTGATAAAAATCTTTTAACATTTGTGAGCAGAATAATCTGTCTCTTTGCTATCCCAGGACGCTAAGGGATCATGTTACTAAAAGGGAAGTCATGGTGCCAGTAACATTTTGGTTTGTCTGTTTTCAACAAACTATAGTTAAAATTCTGTTTTGTTAATACTACTATGTTTTTCTTTAGCCTTTATTAAATTTTACAGGGTTGTTACCATAGGAAATTTTGGTATTATAGTGCATCATGCTTTCAAGAGAATGTAGATAAATTCCTAGGGGCAAATATTTCACTTGACTCTTGTAAATGAAGTAATAATAAATCATGTCACTATGAAATTAATGTAACAAAATTTATATTATATAAAATTATAAAAAAATCTCAATTGTATTTTAAAAGAGAGCGACTGTTTGACAAAATATCTTTTATTATGTACTTTTTTTTTAAAAAAAATAAGAAATGAAGGGTCTTTTGCCAGAGACTCAGATATAATTTGCTTTTTTTTAGTACGAACACCAACAGAAACCCTAATGCTATGAAATGTTTATTATGTTTAATAGTGTTAGACACTATGGGGGCTTCAAAAGCCAGAGAAAATATTTTTATTACCCCTCCACACATAGTCTTTGATTTTGTTAGGGAAGCAAGCCATGTACCCCTAGAATATTTCAACATTAATATAAAGAAGCTTGTGACTAAGTACTGGAAAGAGTGACATCAGGAGTTAGTTTCTATGAATATTCTTATAGAAGAGACATCCTTTGTGCTTTCATGAAGTAAGCTGGGTATTTGTTGCAAAAATAAATCAACAGATTGATAGGTTTTAGGCTCTGGTAATGAGTTAGCGGTGTGGTCATATCTTTTTTCTTTTCCTTTCTTTAATTCTTTAAAGCCTCTAGAGTTCTAGGGGATAAATAAGCAAAATATAATGAATGAAGAAATTGTTTAACCACCTACTGTTATATATTAGGCCAGTTTTTCCCCAACTTTTCTTGTCTTCTAAACTCTTCACAGATAGGAAATTTGAAAAAGTTATTTTTATTAAAGTTTGAGGTTGCTGTGAGCTAGGCTAACACCATGGCACTGTAGCCTGGGCAACAGAGTGAGAAATAAAAAAGGGAAAAAAGACATGGTAAATACAGAAACGGTATCTTATTGTGGCTTTGATTTGCATTTCCCTGATGGCTACTGATGTTGAGCATCTTTTTATATGCCATTGGCCATTTGTACCTCTTCTT